CGCCATTTTTTGACTTTACCCTTGCTGTACCTCTCGCGGCAATATTATGCATTTCGCACGCCCGCCCGCTCGACCTCTTCCAGCAGAGCAAAAACAGCATTCCAGCAGCAGTTTCTCTTGCGGCCGTCGCGCTCGTGCTCGCTGCAGGCGTAAAGTCCATACCGTACTCATATACATTTGCCACCCCCCTCTCCCAGCCTGCAATTCCCTGCTGCGCGCACCTCGTCTAGATCGCTGTTTTAGTGTGTAGTGTGTGCGTGATGTGTGTGTGTGGTTAGTCGGCGTCTTGGCTGTGTGTAGTGTGTTGAGTTAGGTTAGGGTTAGGGGTTTAGGGTTTTAGGCAGTCAGGGATAGGGTTTAGGGTTATGGGTTAGGGTTAGGTATTTCAGGATAGGGTTAGGGTTAGGGTCAGGCGTTAGGGTTAGGGTTAGGGTACAGGGAATAGGGTTAGGCGTTAGGTTAGGAGTTTTACGGGTTAGGGTTCAGGTTTAGGCGTTAGGGTTAGGGTCAGGGATAGGGTTAGGGTTATTTCTCGTTTTTCTTTAATGGGTTAGGGTTAGTTTTAAGTTATGGTGTTAGGGTCAGGGATATGGGTTAGTGTTAGGGTTATTGGTAGGGTTACGGTTAAGGCCGCTTTTCTCATTTATTATTCTCGTTCTTTCCGCAATATTACCCAGTAACAAACACAATCCAATATCTAATACATAGCAATAACACATGTTTTTAGTCTTCACATGTACTTCCATTTATTCGTTATTTACACAGTACTCTCTTCGCGCCATATGCAGTCATTCAATTTTCCGTACATCATTTCCTCGCTGCTCGTACATTTCGCGATTACATGAACTCGTCAAGGACGCTGGTAAACATAGTTTCTTCCCCACGCTTTCATGCGGCTTTATTCCTCGCCTTCGCCCGCACTCCATAAGCCCTTCAATGGTGTTCGTACACACACCTTCTTCGGAAATAAACTCTTTTTTGTGGCATACCGTTTTGTGCCTATACCCCATTTCGCCTAAACACTTGTAACTTGCAAACTCGTCAGAGTAAATCGTACTGCCGAGTTTTACATGCCGTTCTATAAGCGGAACTAACGTCCTGCGTTTCCTATCCTTGACAATGTACACGACGCATTTCTTGGTGTGTCGCTCTACGATGCCGAATACCCATTGGTTTGCTGGGGGAGCCTTGCCGCGGTTGTATTTTCTTTTCTTCCGAAATAAACTTTCGTCTATTTCGACAAGGTTTTCTCCATTCGGTAGCAAACTGTCACTGAAAACCACCGGATCTCGCTCGAGCCGTTGAGTGCATATATCGCGGCAGAAGTTATACCAATCCGTCACCGTCGTCCTTGCTAGTTCTGGTATGAAGGCTCTCGCATGCTTTATTTGCAAATCCATTGCAAACATATAGATCATGGCGAGTATGGTCTTTAAAGGCAGTCGACTCTTCTCGAAGAAGCTACCTTTACGAATGGTTACTCGACGTGTACATCGCTTCTTACGGCAACACCATATGTACCCATCTCCTCGTTGGTTGTCCTTGTCCCATCGCATCTCTTTACCGTGGCATAGCGGACCGTTCTTGCGAAGGAGATTCATCTCTTTCAAATAACTTATCGTGTTCTCCACAGTAGACAAAATCCCACACATAACGAAGAACGTTGGTGCCTCTGCTCTTTCCATAATTCCTGCGAACGATTTCTTTTTTTTATCTAGTCTTCAGTTTCAGTGCCCTACTTATACACCTTGGTGGATTGAAATGTCACATCGAAGAACCAATCACAAGAAAAGCAACGCGTCTATTGCTTTAGTAATTAAACACACATACGCATTTCCCAGTGCGCCCTGTCATGCAACGTCTCATGACTGCGTATTCACTATCGCGGCCGGACTTTCTCAAATGCCCCTATTCTTCTTCCATTAACAATTGTCACCGAACGTCCCATCACCTTGGTGGATTGAAATGTCACATCCAACGACCAATCAGAAGAAAAGCAGCGCGTGTATTGCTTTACTCATTCAACAGACATACGCATTTCCTGATTATTTCTACAGATGTCACGTCTGCTCACTAAATATTTACTATCGCGGCCGCACTTTATCAAATGCCGCTGTTCTTCTTCCATGAACTTGTCTAACTAAACTGCATTACACAAAATCAAAACAAAACAGAATCAATGTATGCGTTCCACCTTCTTTCCTAACAACAAACAAAGTCCTACCCCATACTACAAGCTTCTAGACATTCTAAATCTTTATAATGTTTTTCAACTACAAATCTCAACTCTTCTACACTTCTACACAAAATCAAGTATGTTCAAACGCATATTCCTGCAGCCTTTATTCATCGAATTCCTTCTCCTTTACAAATACTTCATCATAACACTAGGTATGCCGCAAACGCTCATCTACACACACCTGCCTCCAAAAGTAACTATGCTTTATCTCGATTTAAGTCTCTCGCCTCAATGATATCCCCACAAATTCCTCTTAACATTTCAACCACGCCTCACACTAAATGTAAACATCATTATAAGCTATTCCTTCTAGACAGCCAGTAATGATGAATTCAATTAAATTGTTCCATGTTATTTAAGACTATTACAAATTTGTTATATATTATCTTCTAATTGCTTCCTTGTTCATCTCACTTATTACCTATTACATCTATTGTATTTGGGCTTATACTGTTCCATATATATGTATCTAGCTCTATATTTTCGGCTACGTAGACAGCCAGAAATGTTGAATTACATTAAATCAGTCTATGTTCTTTAGTTAATTATACGACCATTACAAATGAGTTCTATATTCTATTATAAATCCTTTCTTGTTCTTGTTAGTTATTACATCAATTGTATTTCTTTTTCTACGTACTCTTCCATATATGTATGTATGTATCTCTTTTTTTCCCCTTTATTTCCTATCTTGACTTTCATTCCACTTTCCCCTCAAACATTTTCTTACCTATAGTAGTCGTCAACTCGAAAGCTTATGGCTACTTCGACGACTACGCACATTCATTTTCAACTGTTTTATAATATTATTCCTTTCTCTCCCTTTTTACTTCTATCTAAAATTATCGGTACAAATCAACGAACTCTCAATCATGTCACCTAACGTCCCATCACCTTGGTGGATTGAAATGTCACATGCAACGACCAATCAGAAGAAAACCAGCGCGTGTATTGCTTCAGTAATTAAACAGACATAGCATTTGCTAGTTGCCGCTATTTCTACACATGTAAGACCCGCTCAGTGCGTATTTACTATCACAGCCGGACTTTCTCAAATGCCGCTGTTGTTCTAGCATTAACTTGTGACCCAACCTACGTCCCATCCTCCGCATCTCTGCATGTTTCATTACTAAACCAATACACGCGCTGCTTTCCTTCTCATTGGTCGTTCGATGTGACATTTCAATCCACGAACGTGTATAAGTATCGCAGTGAAACTTAACAGTCTCTACTTCTCTAAGAAGATCACATTTGCGAAATACACTGCACCATGTCTGTTCGTCACGTCTATTGATCTTATCAACTCGCTATGGCATATGCACGCCGATCGATACGCTTCTCTGAAGAGCAAGTATGCCGCATCCAGCATGCTTGCATGCTAACTCCTTGCCAGGTCACCGATTTCGTCTCTCCACACGTCGCCGAGTATTTGGAATGCTTGGCTAAGAAGTGCACGTCGAACGCGATGTTTCTACTGACCGCCTTTGTTGGCTTCATCGCGGGACTCATGCCGACGTGGGTCGAAGTTCGAGGAGCTGCCTTACGTCAACCTCTCAGCTCATTCGTTATCATCGTCGGCCCAAAAGGAAGCGGGAAGACGCAAGCCATGAATACCGTCGTTGTAGCTGGAGCCCACGAGATTGCGAAGGAGCGCCACGAATCTCTCATCTTCAACATGGGCACGAAGGAGGGCTTGTTGAATCAAGTAAGTCGCCTCCCATGTCACCATACACTAGTGGCAGGCGACCAGTTTTGGGCTTATCTCGGCGGCCTCCTGCACCGTCAGGCCACGCAAGCTTCCGGAGAGATTCAGCTCCTATCGCAAAGCTGGAGCGGATCACCGATCACCGCGCAATACGCCACGCGTCGACCGATCACCCTCAACTCCGCCAACGTTTGCATCGCCGGCTGCATGCAGATGGATCTGTTCCTGCAGGCGCTGCAACAGACATGCAAGGGAGACGGCTTTCTCGATCGATTTCTTCTGGTATGTCCCATGCCAGTGCTGCCAATGCCGCAAGACACTGCAGAAGCTGCAGGCCAGTTCACCGCCGCCGCATATCACGAGCCAGCGCGCATCGCCGTGAAAGTCTACGATTGCCATCATGACATAGAAGAAGCCGAGCAAATTCAATACACTTTCTGTCCGGATGCCGACCAATATCTTACTAACATCATCACGGCCGCACGCATCAACTTTAACGAGCAGGTGAGCAGCGGTGAACCAGTAACCGATGTGAAAAGCATTGAGCTCATTGTACGCATCGCCGCCATTCTGCACATATTCGACCATTCTGTTCGAGACGAACTCCCTGCAGCTATACCGAGAAGCATCTCCGTCGACAACGTCAAGCGTGCGCAACGACTAGTTCAATACAGCAACTCCGTTTTCAACATTCTATGGTCTTTCATCGAGGAAATGAGCAAACCTCCTCCTGCTGATGAAGATGCTGCCGACGACGCCGGTGCTGCTGCTATGAAAGCCATACTGCTCTTCCCGGGACCAACAGTTCGCATTCGCGAACTGCAGCGCTTCGGTGCTGGCCTCATTCGCACCATGAAGGCCGCAGCGATACGCAAAACCTTTGAGGAGATGGACCGCCAAGCACTTGGCACCTATGAGCGGGGCCGTGCCATCTTGACGAAAGTTGATCCAATGCATCTACGCATCGACCTCCGGCGTTACAACATCGAGCCGCAGGACTATATTTCTGCGTATTCCGCAAATATACATCAAGCCACGCGCGCCTATCTGCTGCGCACTGGGGGCATACCATGATCGATGCTCGTCATGTCATACAGAATTCGCGTGTCAATAAACTGTATAATATCTGTCCTGTGAAAACAATACCAATGTCTTCCTTGTATTCATTGTTTGCCCTGCTCTGCAACCGTGCTCGCACATACACATTGATATGTATAAGCTCACGCAAACAGATCAACGCGAATAGAATTACACATGCACATCGAATGACCCAAACACGCTACACCATCAACAATCCACATGAGCTACTTCACTAACGGTAGTGTAATAGTCTACAGCAGCCAATTCATTCATGCAATACAACTACGTACTACGTACTACGTACTACGTGGATACAACCATCCTACAAACAGCCTATTAACCCCTTATTCGGGGGTAGTGCGTTGCTGGCCTCTTCATCCTAATAGTATCCTACGACTCCCTAGCTACCCTACACCCCTATTCAATCATCATTCGTCCCATACCATCTAATCACGCACACACGCCCACACATATACACACGTCATGTTCATTGATGCAGTACACGCGATCTTTGTCATCTTATGGCTGCAACGCCCCGACGCCCGCACCCACGCACGTGCGCACCGCCCTCCCCCCCCCCTTCATTGCCATGCGCCTTGCTGTATTCTTCATCTCCTCGCGTCGCTCGCTCGCTCGCTCATCACCCGGGCTCGTCACATACAAACCG